ATATTTGCTATCTGGCCCTTTGCAGAAAAAGCTTGCTGACCCCTGGTCTAGGCGTTCATTTTCTCCTACTCATGATTGCTGGGTAAACTCTGAAAATGTCTTAGTCCCTGGTTGCCATTTATCTAGATTTTTAAAATATAATAGACCATTATTTTTGGTCTTTGAAGGTACTACAAGGTAGTAATTAAGTTACAGCTGTACTTGACTACAATTTCAAGGCTAACAAAATGCTGGTATTACTGAACAACTAATTGAAGTTGGGTGTTTTCAAAATTGCATCAGTACCACATTCGTGAGTCATCATTTTGTTGTCATATTTGAGGGACCTTGGTGGAAAGTGGGGTAGAAAGAGCCCCATGGTAACTGGATAAATGATAAACTTCTAACACCATTTCAGTTAAAGCAAGAGGAATTGTAAGATTATTTCCAGAGATCTGTAAGACAAGTTATATGACAGTAGAAAGCATGAAAATATTTTTCTCATGCTTATTCTTTGAGTAGCCTGATAATAATGTTTTGGTCTCTGGACTTCCATAGCAATGAACCTTTGTTCAGACAAGGTTAAGAAGAGTAAATTAAGCACTGTCATTTTCTACTTGTGATTTCTAGAGATTCTAAGTTTATATGTGGCTGTTAGCACGTTGCCTGACACAGAACATGCCTTCAAAAATATTTGCTGAATTAATGTCCTGGCAAGTAGAACCTGGCTTTGCAAAATCTTTACAGGATTCATTTATTATTGATACATTACATTAGGTCCTTATACATATAGAAATAGTAAATTTTATCATTGCTCAGAGGAGGGGCGAGGTTATATCCAGCTGAGATTGGCAAATAAGATGACAAAGAATGTACAATTCGAGTGACCATCGAAGGACTTGGGGGGAAGAAGGACGGCCAAGGAAGGCAGATAAGGATGGAGGTGGCATGAGCAGAGACAGGCGCACGTGAGATGGGTTGAAAGCCTGCCTGAAGTGAAGCAGTTGGTTTATGCAGGTTAAATGGTTGCAGTAAAATTGAACTGCTATTTGAAATTAGATCTAGAATTTAAGTGCCTTCAATACCTCACCGTATCACTAGGCAACCACAGATGTTTGAACAGAAGAAAAAAAGGAAAAAAAAGAACATGAGGTGTGGGAAAGATGAGTCAGGAGACACAGGGAGGGATGTCCTCGAAGGAGGAGCAGTAGACAATGAGGGAGAGTGACACAAGAGCCCGTGAAGCATAAGCTGCCTGGTTACAGGGGAAGGAAGTGAGGAGCTCAAAACTGACCACGGGGTCTCTAGCCTCAGGAAATATGGCCCTTTCATTAGGAGAAACAGAAGTCAGAAATATAGGGTAAAGACAATTAGCTCATTTTTTAAGAGTATTTTTTAAAAAGATTTTATTTATTTGACAGAGCACAAGCAGGGGGAACGGCAGAGGGAGAGGGAGAAGCAGACTCCCCGCTGAGCAGGAAGCCCGACGTGGGGCTCGATCCCAGGACCCGGGGGTCATGACCCGAGCCAAAGGCAGACGCTTCACTGACTGAGTCACCCAGGCGCCCCTTAACTCATGTTTTTAATGAAGAAGGTGGTGAGCTCAGGAGACCAGCTGGGCTAGGGGGCAGATTTGGGAGTCCCCAAAGGAAAGGAAAACGTCAAGAGTCTGGGGCCCATGAGAGGAAGGAGAGTGCAGTACAAGAAAAGGCCGTCACACGTAGCCATCAGGAGACCATTTACTGCCTTCAAAACTGAAGGCCAGGTTGCCAAAGCTTGAAGCTGCCGCACCCGACCTGGGGGCTCAGACTTCTGATTGTTCTTGAAGGTAGTGTTGGAGAGATTTCAAAAAGCCTAATGGAAGTTTTACATAAAGCTAAATAAATAAACAAAAACAAGTCACTTTTTTTTTTCTTTTCCTGAAATCATACCAATCCAGTGTTGGTTTTTGTGCAGACTGGAAGTTCTAATGTGCATTAAGGATGGATTTGATTGATTTAAAATAGGGAAGTGCATTATTACTTAATCTTGCCTCTTCAGCCTTTTGAAAGCATTCATTTAAGTGTTCCTTGGAACACACTTTGGCAAATGTGTGAGATAATGATGTGAGGTTGCCTAGCAGCAGGCTCTGTAATGGGCAGAATCAGGCTTTTAGTCCCAAGATGTCCACATAACTGCAACGCTAAGAGGTTACAGAGTGTTTCCATGTACATTGTCTCACCTGGTCCTCTCACCACTCGTTAAAACACTGCCCCGCTACCTCTAATTCAGAAAATAATTAGGCAGCCTCCTTTTAAACTTTGCACAGTCCTAGCCATTAAGAGTTGCTTTAGGATTGATCTGGAGGAATCCGGCACTTTTTTTTCCCCCTTTGGCTTCTATTAAGAAAATTGAAATCTGGCTTTTTTTTTTTTTTATTGTCCATTAGCAAAATCACCTCAGAAGGGGTTTGTGCCATGTCTTTGGATTTTCTTTATGTGTATGCCTCACGTCTGTGGCTCTTTAATTCAGATACCCAGCAAATGATGCCAATATCCATAATAAATATTTGAGGCTAGAAGTGGATTTTCATGGGGACATATTTCTGACTCGTGTTATTTCAGTATGTACATTCCAAGGGATTGATTGTTGTAATCCAAGTATCATTAACTAAAAATGTGAAAAGCTCATTGCTAAAAATCCTGAGAGAGTCTGTAAACATCCTGTGCTGCCACTTCAGAGCTTTGAACATAAACTCCTAAAAAATAACTGCGTGTGCAATTCATGTTTTGTGTGTGTGTTTAGAAATTTATCCTGAAACACAAATAGGAGCAGAATTAATTAGCAGGGTTAATTAAACACTTCTGTAGGAGTACTGTTCTCTCTACAGTCCATGCCAGAAAGTTGCTGGAATATTTTTAATTTTACAAAGATAGAGACAGACACCAGCAGACAGCTAGCAAGGAGTAGTTTCACACACAAGGTTGCACCAAACTTAACACGCCCTCTGTTAATCATCTCAGATCACTGGGCATGCTGAAACGGGACACTGAACAACATCCTTTGCCAAACAGTTCCAGGTAAAGCCGTAAGAATTATCTCCCATGTCCAAGGAGGAATAAGTGCCACCCGTGGAATCCAGCTCCTGCATTTGCCATTGAAGTCCATTCCCAAAGCCTCTCCTCTGATTGGTTTTTTGGCATCATGTTGAGTGTTCCCATCCCCCAGCAGCTGCTGCCCTTGAGAGCCAGCATAACTCAAAGAGGCAAAGATCATTCAGCTCCAAACACTGAGGAAATTTTGGCATCTTCCCCATCACAGGAGGCCAGCCAAGTTGTACTCCAACCCAACCTCTGGGAGAAGCCTTTCAAAGACATAAATGTTTTATAGCTGAGCCCCAGCTTAAGAAGTCTCCCCTGGGGCGCCTGGGTGGCTCAGTTGGTTAGGCGACTGCCTTCGGCTCGGGTCATGGTCCCAGGGTCCTGGGATCGAGCCCCGCAT